ATCACCATTCTGCTGCCAATAATCAATGTCTTAGATTAGAATAGAGAGTCAGATTAGAATAAGCCCCTCAACATGCAAACCTTTTCTCTGAAGTTTTCACAGGGACGAAATGGTTTCCCTCTGAGAGCCAGCAGAGCTTTTATTTCCTACATAAGACGGCATATAAAGCGAGAATATTAATGTTACACAAAACAGAAGAATCACATATGAAATATTAAATTAAATTATTACAAACTGTTTCTATGTGATGTAGGCATAAAATAATGCCATAAAACAACGCAATATGCTCTATCTGCCAGACCATTGCTCAAGTTTGATGTATTGCTGTGATCAAATTGTAGACATCTCGTCTCCAAAAGTAGGTTACTTTTTTGTTTGTTACGGGCTCATACTTTGAATGAGCCCAACACAAACCGAGAGTCAGAGGAAACTCCAGTCTGCAAATTATCGCTTTTTACACGAACAGTTAATCACTCTGAACCAAAGAGAAACCGACAATATCTGATGCTTGTTACCGGTAACCTGAAGTCTAGATTATCCTGGGCAAGATGCAATAAATACTGGAGGCATGATCGACTACTGAAGGCAGCCATTGTTGTCGCAATTTAAAAATACGTCCGGCTTGAAACCGAGCTCTGACACAAAGTACCGCTTGGGGACTGTATCTCTATAAATGGCAGAAAAATTAGGTACTGTGTTTCATTTAGCTATGATACACTCGTATTAAGTTTTGTACTGCCGCTGTTTTATGCTAACATTATCATACATAAGCACAGGTGAATACTTCGTTTTTAATGTTATTTTGCAACCTTTATTTGCATTAAAAAAAACTCCTTATCACTTTTTTCATAAACCTGTGTGTATGTGTCTTTTTAATGTAACAAGTAAGCAAATTTTTGTCATCAGTACACATCGGTATGCTTTACTATTCTGGTCATACATGTGTGGATAAAGTCTGTAATCTGCTTTACATCAGAGCCGTCTTGTAAGACCGCCCCTCCTACTGATTGGCTGTCCGGGTTGTCTCTGCCGTGTCACTGGCTGAAGTTGATGTCCATCACAGTGGTTTTGTCTGGGGACAAAAAGGCATCCATCCGCACTCTTTCCTCTGTCAGCACTGCTGCAGTGTTGTTAAGTTGTATTACTTAGTAACAGTGTAACCAGGATTCTTGCTCTTTGGTCGCAATGAAGCGTAACTGCAGGTGAAGGGAGGATCAGGTCAGTGTGTCACTGTTTATATTTACTATGAGAATCTGAAGGACTGAAAACTTCCAGGTTACTTTTCAAAGCTAGATGTTCACTCGTTGTTTTGATAATGATATTATATTAACTGTGGGAAATAAGTAATGTCGTTTTAATGAGCTGTCAGCTGAATTTACGATTTAAGATTGCGGCTGCCAGTCATAACTGATGTGATCACAAGAACAGTTGTGTGAAAAATAAGTAGGTGAGACTTAAAGAATTTGGAAACAATAAAGTAACATTAGGAAGATTAAGATGCTGCATTTCTCTGTTGAGAAATGATTGTATATTCAAATTTGTCTTGAACAGAGTCAAACATGGGAACAAACAGCCAGAGCACCACCGTGGAAACAGAAGAGAACGCCCAAACTCCTGCGGCGTGCATCGTTTCTGTGAAAGGCTTGAAGGAAAACTGGCAGAAATGGTCCAGCGAACACCAGGAGTACCAGAAGCACAATCCCTTCAGTCACAACACCAGACCGAGCACGGTGGTCCCTCCGAGGGGAGGGGATGAGTATGGGAAACCCCTGCAGGGTTCCCTGACAGAGCAACGTGGGAGGGATGCTCACACACACATCAGCAGAGAGGTTCAGGAGCTGTGTGAGGTCATAAGGAGCATTGGGGAGTCGGGGGGCAGCGATGGGAAAGTGATTACTGTAAGATTTGGAAAGCTGTTTGAGCATTATGTGACTATCTCGAATAAACTGGTTGGGATTCTTCTGCGAGCGAGGAAACAGAGACTGGTTGACTTCGAAGGGGAGATGCTGTGGCAGGGGAAGGATGATCACGTAGTTATCACTTTGTTGCAGTGACCCCAAATGTTTAGATGCCTTGATTCATTGTGCGTGTAGTACACGCAGGTACACAGGCACTTGATGTGGCAGCTTGTGCAGACAAAGAACATGGGGAAACCACTAAATGTCAGTCAAAATGAGAAAAGGTAACTTCAAACCTGAGCATTTTTTTCCCTCCAGCAGCTTGTTGACGAGGTGAAAGTGGAGCAGTGAGCAGTTGAGATGACATCAGATTTCCTAATGGGACCAAACCGAAGCCAAAGAGAACATGAGGCTGCCTGTGACAGACATAATGATGCTATAGGATGAACTTGACCCGACTTGGCCTGACTGCTTCAACATGTATTTATTTTAAGTGTGCTTTGCAATGACACAATATTGCTACAGTTCCAAATTTTGAAACTAGAAGTGCAGCTTTAAAGCAATAAGAACCACATCATAAGGAACTATAGACTGAGTACCAGCTCTTATTGAAAGTATGAAAGTATAGGAATTTTTTTTTTTAAACACACAGCATTAATAGATTAACACTGTCTCCTAATTGCATCATAATAAAGATAAGAAACGATGTCTTGTGTGTTAAAGTGTTACTGCAGGTGGGTTAAGAGTGAAACTGAAAAAGGGTCTGTATGTAAACCATACTGAGATACTACAAAGGCACTGAGAAGCAACAGAATACTGTTTATTCTAAATTAAAGCCATTCTTAAAGTGCATACCTTTTGTACAGTACATTTTGTTGTTGTTGGTTTTATTCCAATTACCACTGCAAAGTATAACATAATTTCACAGCACATACTTTCATTCATCTTTCCACATGACATTG